TCCATGCCTCCATGTTAAAAGCATCCCTGCGTAAATCTCCCTTAATACCCAACTGCTTACTGCTTTCATTAGGGTTATGGCAGTACCGGCGGGATCTTAAGGAAAAAGAAGGGGGACCGCCCCCTCTCCCCCCCCCCCCCCCCCCCCCTCCAGGAGAAGCAGGACAAGGTGGTGCTGCAGGCGGAGGTGGCCAACCTGCGGCAGAACAACCGGCGCCTGCAGGAGGAGTCGCACTCGGCCGCCCGGCAGCTCCGGCGCTTCGCACGCATCTTCTCCGGCGCCGGCGAGAAGGAGGAGCTGTGAGCCAAACGGGGGGGCCCCCGACCCCCCCCTTGGGGCCACCGAACCCCCCTTGGGGCCAGCGGCCGCCCCCCGGGGCAGCTGGGATGGCCCAACGGGACCAGGAGCGTCCATACGGGACCGAGGGCGTCCATACGGGACTGAGGGCGTCCGCACGGAGCCGCGGGCCACCGTACGAGGCCACGGCCACCCTACGAGGCCATCAAGCATCCCTATGGGACTGAGGGCGTCCATACAGAGCCACAAGCCACCATACGAGGCCGCAAGCATCCATATGGGACTGAGGGTGTCCACATGGGGCCAGGAGCTTCTATACGGGGCTGGGACCATCCTCTGGAGGGCCACGAGGCACTATATGAGGCCACAAGCTTCCATATGGGACTGGGAGCCTCTGTCCAGGGCCAGGAGCATCCCTGTGGGGCCACAAGCATCCCTGTAGGGCCAGGAGCCTCCATACGGGGCCACGAGCATCCCTATAGGGACTGGGAGCCTCTATACAAGGCCAAGAGCATCCATATGGGGCCACAAGCCACCCTACGAGGCCACAAGCATCCATAGGAGATGGAGAGCCTCCATACGGGGCCAGGAGCTTCCATACGGGGCTGGGACCATCCCTGTAGGGTCACGAACCTCTGTCTGGGGCCAGGAGCATCCCTGTAGGGACTGGGAGCCTCCATATGGGACTGAGAGCATCCATACGGGGCCATCAGCCACCATATGGGGCCAGGACCGTTCCCTGTAGGGACAGAAGCAGCCCTATGGGGCCAGGAGCCTCCATCTGGGACTGGGAATATCCATAAGGGGCCGGGACCATCGCTGTAGGGACAGGAGCCACCATATAGGACTGAGGGCATCCCTACAGGGCCACAAGCCTCCATAGGGGGCTGAGAGCCTCCATACGGGGCCAGGAGCTTCCATATGGGGCCAAGAGCATCTATATGGGACTGAGCGCCTCTATATCAGGCCACAAGCTTCCCATATGGGACTGAGGGCATCCCTACAGGGCCA